CGTGAACTGTATATATCCTGATTCACTTTGCTGCAACGAATGCAAATCATTTTAACCTTAAATTATTAAAGARAACAAACTGACAAAAAAAATTAAAGTTTAAGCAGAAGCAAACCAAATATTACATAGAAAATACATATTTTGGCTCGTCAGCAAAAAATTTATTTTCCGCCGCTAGTATGCTGTTTTTATTACATTTTCACCATATATTTCTCAAAATCCAAAAAAGATGATGATAGAAATACTGTTTAAATTCAAGTAATAAAACAGAAAAGTTCGAGAAAAGCTAAAAAACACTAACGGAGAACTCAGCACTTTAACGAAGTACACTTAATAACGTAAACACAAGAAAACTTTTTTTAAAATAAAAACGCTGGCAGTGTTGTTGCGCTGTTTTGAGATCCCAGTGGACCTTTCAGCGACAACCAAGTAGTTACGCATAAACACCAGCAGTTGGTTAAAGTGACGTTTTAGTATTAATATCTCAGCAAATAATATCAATGACAATTTTTTTATTGCATCGATCGCGACTTCATTACTCACAATTTCGAATTCTATGCTAATTCTTCTCCAAATGCTTCAATTCCACAAGTTCCGAGTGTGTTATTAAGAACATGGCCGACTGAATACTCCTGATTTATTGAATTAATCGTTTATTTGCGATTTCTATTTTTTTAATTGTTTTTACTGTCGAACGGTACGGATGAGAATTGCAAATTCAAAATTATATTATACAGCTTTTTTAGTATCCTTTATCAAGCAGTTACCATTTCCCAACAACTCCGAGCGCCAAGTATTATTTTGTGCCTTTTCTTATCTTTGAATTCCTTTTCTTTCTATTTGTTTACTTAATTCATTGATTTTCTTTCTTTCTTTCTTTCTTTCTTTCTTTTTCTTTTTCCATTTCTCCTCCTTTTTCTCTTTTTCTTCTTGTATTTTTTGCGCCTGAAACCGACAAGTACCAAGTTACAATTGTGGCTAATAAGGATTATTCATTTTTGCGTACCATACTGAAAAGATTCGTAGTTACCATTTTTGATTGCAAACTCGAATGCTATGTTTTCTCAGCAACCATCAAATTCCCCACCGACACAAATCGAAAAGCCGGCTCAATAACATTCTTAATATATTCAAGTCTTTTATAACACATCACAGGGAACAGAAAGCAATAAATATTAAATCTTTTCAACAGCTAAAATTAGAAACATCTGCAAGTCCCATGATAAGAGAGATAAAGTTCAAGGTCGTTAGGTAACGAGCTTGCTCCTCTCCAAGGCTTCAACATGAAAGCACTGAGCTGGAAGTATTTCCAAGGTAAGCCTTATATCACCAAGAAGGATTATTTCTTTTGACTCTGATCCCGGCGAGTACTGATGGCAATGCAAATGGCAGTACAGTTTCGTAATTTTTAGATATTCAAGTTTCGTGCAAAGTTATAAGAACTGCGTTTTCTTGTGTTTCAGGCCTAGGTCTTCCATGTTTTCTCGCAAKTTTTTTGTTTTTAATCTGCATCAAGGTAAGTCTTAACTTATTCCAATACCGTATCGTTCTGTTTAGTTTTTTTAAGCACATATTTGTCATTCTTTTTCTCGAGCATGAATTAAAAACAAAATAAATTGCGTTACACTTATTGATTATGTCTACAAAAAGCTGTCGAATTCAGAGCCAAATGTTTTACCACTTTCAGACAAAAATAAATATTTAGACAACATTACATACATGAGGAAGAGCAGAAGTTAGAATGTACGTAATTTATGAAATGTATATATATTTCCTATTGATATTACTTCATAATGACTTCTCTAGCTTACAGTCCGAAATATTTTTAGTGGCGTTTTCTTTTATTTATTTTTTTTGTGATTTTTTCTTCTTTCTTCCCTTATCCCTTTGCATCTTTCTTTCTTTTATTTTTGCAATTCTTTTCTTTTCTTTTCTTTTTTACTTTACTTTTTTCGTTCTCTTTTTATCGTACGGTTTTCTATGCAAGTTATTGTACAGAGAGTCAAAGGCATGATTTTTTATGTTAGACTACCGAAACGAGGAAGGGAGATGTACGTCAAATGAGGGAAGGAAAGAAGAGAACAGGCACCACTAAAATGGCAAGAAAATGTAAGACGTTAGACCGGGTTGAAATAACCCGTTRCAACAGGTTATTAGCGAACCAGCTACAACTTAACCGATTCAGCTTCAASCCTTTATAACGGCTTCAGAATAAACCAGAAATACAAGTATCATACTGGGCGATGAATGCGCTGCAACGGGTTGACTAACCCGCTACAGTCGATCCCAAGCTAAACTAGTCCTAGCGAGTTCTGTAGTAACCAGTCGTAAAGGTGGTTTGAAGCTGAACTAGTCCTTGCGCCGAGGTTCGTCGGTAATGACTAGTCAGTTGTAACGGGTTGATTTCAACCCGCTCTAACAGCTTACAATTTTTGCCATTCTTAAACTCCAGAAAAGCAGATAAAAGCAGGGTAAAGAAAGCGAGTAAACGCAAGAGGAACGAAGTTAGGATAAGAAATATATAGATTGGAAAGCATAGGAAAGAAAAGCTAAGAAACAAAAAGCTAGAAAAGCGAGGAAAA